CTTCTGTCGTGTCCTGCAGACGCGAGACCCGCTTGCGAAAAAAAGACCGAGCTTTCGTTCTCCATGCCCCTGGCCCTCAAGTGTGTTGGTTGCTCTAGTCTTCAGCTTCCTGGCCGAGGACATGTCAATTTGAACTCCAGCCCAAAATGTGCGGTCTCATCAGAGTTGTTGCGCAAGCTGCCCCCGAGCTTCGTGCTTTGTGTGTCTATCGGACATAGTTGATTTTGCGGGTGGATGGTTCCCGGATTGCTGCGTGAGTCGCCCTTGCAGGCCACATTCACAAATTGTTTGCAACAGTCTCAGGCTTTGCTATATTCCAACTTTGAGGATTTGGGGGAGATTGGGCCTTCGAGAGTCAGTGGTCTGTGTCCTACAAGGCGTACTGTGTCCGGTGCCCGGAACCGTAAATATTGGTTTGTTCCGTGCTCGGATGGAGCCTTGCTGCAGATGGAGGAAGTGCAGGACCACAGACAGCCCAAACTCCGAGTCGCCCTTTGATCACGAAGTCTTCCTTAGTCTGCGCATGTCCACGCCTGTCCTGGAAAGCCCGATGGGAGTCGGCAGGCCCCACCCGTGAATGTCGCGGAAATGGCAGTTCTGGCAGACGATGCGGCAGACCAAGAATCTCAGACTCTGACATGCGCACAAATGTGGGCTCGGGAAGCAGATACACTTGCCGCTTGCAGAAGCTTTTTCTGAGATCTGGCGTATGTTGACTTTGGGATCATGGGATAAAAGAACCAATATTGCATATCTAGGCACGCAGCTATGCTCGGCATCTATTGAATCTATTGCCGCCTCTGAATATACGTACATTCATGCACACATGCAGCCACACACCTGCGCACGGGCCTGCATAGCACAGCTCATTGTTCGCACACACATACATACACATGCATATGCATGCACCTTGCATATGCATGCACTTGCATACATGATGTCAACACCTGAGCAGTTTACCTTACCTACAGATAGGCGTTGCGCGATCCTCGCGTGATGTTGGACCAACTCTGTGTTAACGCGGTCATCCAGACTCGCAGCTAGGCTCACTAGTTGGTGTGGCCATCCAACTAGAGTCCCCGGAGAGCGCCCAAGCTTGACGAAACGGGGAATCCCTGCCGGCCGCAAGTCGCTCACACAGCCAAAAAGTGTGGGCACTGTGTCGAATAACCTGAAATCCCGAGACCGAAACCTAAGCAAGCTTCGTCCGCTGAGGTCCTGTGCTGCTGCCACCCACGCCACGGCAGCCTTACCCAGGATCGGGGGATCCAAACGTGAGAGTTTATGCTGTTAACGGTTAGGTAGACTAGCCCTCGCGTGACTAGTTCATCTGGTATGATCGCGCGCACGAGGCTATGCAAAACCGTGCATTGGGTGAGTGCTGGGGACAGGAAGCTGCCGCCACCGACTTTGTTCGTTGCAAGCTCCGGCTGTCAGAAGAGGCCATGTATGCTGTCCTGATGCTCGAATCTCTGTGCGTGTGCGCATTCGCAGTCTGCATGCCTTTTTCCCCCTTGGATCCCAGATGGGATCAAATTTTCATCGCATCCTGCTGCCCGCCGCCGAAGACCCCCGAATCCCAGTAAAACACCGGAGAGCTTGACGTAGGAATGAAGCACTTCAAGGTTGTCACAACCCTCAACCGCTACGTTGGAAGATTGGCAACGGTAGGTCCGTTTATATCTGAGTCTTCGGAGCTGAACAGTTCGAGAGAGGTTGTCGTCTCGCACGTCTATCACACACGGGAGCTTCCATCATGGATCGCTTTACAGTCTGGTCCGGTACCCGCCTTTCGAGAGCACAGCACACATCGCAGTGCTTCATTCCTCATTCATCGGTTTTCTGATGATGAGTAGCGTGCGGCAAGGCATTCTCTACAGTTGCTCCTGCAGGTCCTTCACTTTCAGGCCGCCGAAGATGCACGGACCTTGGGTCGAAGGCTTCAGTTGAAAAGAGATACTCTCAGAGGTTGTTCGCAACGCAACCACGCAACGGAAACATCACTGACCTGACTGCTCGCAGCTGGATTGCAGTTTCCACTGCATTTGTCAATAATGTTATTGGCCTTCATGCGGCGCAGCTACGAGAACAGAAAACTGTCTTCCACAAGATGGTACAAGATAGGAGAAGCTATGACTGCGAGCTTGCAAAGCAACTGGCCCCCAGAGCCATGTCGTCTTTCGACGCGCGCCTATTGCTCCGGCAAGCTTCCTTCAAGAAAGGCCGCTGCCGGATGGTCTGGTTCGATAGGCAAGCCAAGGCACCAGTTTTGATTCCAGCTCAAACATGCATCGAGTAACCCCAAAACACAATCCCGAAAGTCTGCGCTGCTTGGAGTCATGTGCGTGTGTGAGTATGCGTGTCGAGACGAAGGCATTGAAGCTGGCGATATGCAGCAGCGACTTCGTGAGCTCGCCGGCGAGCTCTGGAGGTCGGCGAAAAGGGGCAGGGTGAAGCACTCCCTTGAGTATTGTGACTCGTTTGAGCGAGGAGCATCTGGGGACTTAATCTTGTAGCTTGAGTGCTGGAAGCCGACATGCGCCATGTTTGTTGATAGCGAAGTTTGGCATACAGTCCTCGGCGTCGGGGCTTCTGGTGCAACTAGACAGTTAAGGGAATTCGACCGGACAAGTGGCTGGAGGCAAGACCACGAAGACAAGCTGTGGAGCCGCCGCTCTGAAGGCCGGGAAGCCTAGGAACTTAATTTCAGATTGAGAAGGGATCAAACTTCGGAGTTTCATGGCCTTGCAGTTGTTGACCGTGGCTATACACTCACAGGCCTCACAGATCTAAATGTTTCGGCACCAGAAAAAAGCTGTTTTGGCTTCGGGCACAAAGGCTGAGCAAAGGCTTCGAAAGCTGGGGGAAAGCAATGCAACTCCGAAAGTTGTCTTAGTCCTTTTGGTGGCCGAATAGCCAACTCTTGTTCGGACAGACAGCTGCTGCCACAGGCTTCTTGCTGGAGCAGCAGCTCGTCGAACAGCCAGCCGTGGTAGAGGCGCCCACGACTCATTCGTGGTTAACAGCTCTGTCTCGTCAGCAGAGGCATAGTCTTGGTTCCTGACAGGTTGATCTCGCTGGGGAGGCGGATGCTATGATGGTGGAAGACCTGCTGTCGCAGCTGCCCCGAGTTCGTGACTTGGAGAATGCATAGATTCCATAGATGCGGGAAGACCTTTGCCGTGCAGCAACAGCGAATCGCAAGTTCTCTTTTCTGGGCATCTGACATCTGTAGTCATGGTTTCCAGCCTTGAAAATTCGGCTCGCTCAAGGATTTTCGTGAAAGATCCCTGCAGGCAGCAGGCTGTTGGCCGAAGCGGACCCTTCCGGCCAACTCGACGCTCTCCGGCTGCTGCGGAGTGGGATCTGCGCTGAAACGCCAGCAGGAAGAAGGGTGAAAAGAAGGGTTTACACAAATTTGGTCTGCAGGTGCCACAGCTAGGGCCGCTTTCGTGAGGTTCTCGATCCAAAGAGGATTCTCTCTAATCTTGTGTTCAGAGGCGCTAAGCAGTTCTTCTCCCCCCATAAATCTCGGCTGTGGTGCAGGGGCAGAGCTTTTGAGTGCGCCTTGGTGCAAAAGGCCTGCTCGGAGACCTTCCAAACTGCTTGGTGACGTTGGCCGAGACAGCGGAGGTTGCGGAAATCCGAGTAGAGGCCGCCTGTTTCGAGCGAACACTTAAAGATTGCGGTGTTAAAGATTGCAAGCTTCCTTGGCAGCACGTCCCGATCCAATCTGCAGGCGATGGCTGCACTTGCGGACTTGGCATGCAGCTCGGTGGAGAAGGCCGGAACCGGACCCCCTCTGAAGCACAGGGTCCTCCACAGTAGTCGTGCTTTTCGCACAAGAGGCCCTCCTAGTGGCCGAGAGTGGAGCTCTGCCGCTCTGTGTGCGGCTGCTTCAGAGCTCCGATGAGGCTCAAGCTGGGCTCAAGGGATCTGAAGGGATATCAAGGGAACTCAAGGGAACTCAAGGGTGTCAGGGTTCAGGGTGTCAGTGTTCAGCGAGATGCCTAACCAGTTTGCTAGTGCGGTGCATGCGTGAGTTAACTTGCAGTTGCAGCAAGAACCACCGTTGTGCAGCGTTGCGACTCTCGGTAACGCAGCAAAACAGGGAGAGCGCGACTGTAGTGCCAAGTAGGCCGTTTGATTTGCTGTCAGCATCTGCGCAGGGTCACTCTTCCGTCCTTGCACAACTTCCAATTCCGACTCTCCGTCAGCCCTAAGGCCCTAAGTCATAAGTGGTCCGGGTTTGGGGCTTTATGCAGAGAAGGGCTTCATTCACGGCTCCCTTTCGAAGGATTTGCTTTCTTTGCTTTTGCCCGAGGCCCTTGGTCAGGAATCCTTCCGGGCACTCCAAGGGGTGCGGCAGACGGCTGAGATCTTCTAGGGCACGGATGGGGAAAGACATTTTACCCGAGTCTGAGCGGCAGGGCCTTGTCCCACTGAACAGGCAAGCCCGATTAAGAATCCCGGCAGCCGAAGTTTGCGAGCTGTGTGGCCAATAAGGGCCGAGATTCCGACACGGAGTTTCAGGGTGCCGAAACCGGCCCCGTTCGTTTGACGCGCAGCAGGCGACTCAAAACATCCAAGCAACACGGCAGTCCACAACAGTAACCCTCCTACTGTGAGCAAGCTCGGTCTTCTTGGAACCCTGTCCTTCTGCCTTTAGCAACATCTACAAGTCCTGTGAGCATTGCGTGGCGGTTGCAAATTAGCATCCTCACATATATGTCTACAGAATTCTACATGTGCATATATATATATATGTATAGTATTTATATAGATAGATCTCTATATATATATATATAAAAGAGAACATATATATATATGTATATATATATATGTATGTATGTATGTATGTACGTACGTATGTATGTATCTATGTATGTGTAGGGGTGTGTGTGTATGTATATATATATATATGTATATGTGTATGTGTATATGTATATGTATATATATATATGTATGTATATACACGAATATGCATATGTATGTATGTATGATGCATGCATGCATG